ACTGCTGCGTACAATCTACTGTTCAACAACGAAGACTATTCTGCTCTCAGTCAACGCTTTCATTTTCAAGATTTTTTATTTATTTATAAATTTACTAAGTAAATGTTGTTTGTTGTTTTCCTTTTGTCTTTGATTTCCAAAGCTGTAACACCTGGCCACCTCTTTCTTCCTCCTCATCTTTCCCCCAAGAATCCATGATTCAAGATTCATGGTCGGAAATCGGAATACAAATTCATACTTAACCGCTTCTTCTCTGCTTTATTGGGTTTCTTGATCAAAATTTGATTTTCGAAATTGAGTTTAATTTCACCCCAGCAAAAGCATCTGCAAGATTCTTTTTCTTAAGGTAATTATAGTTCAGTAATTATTTTTTATGTTAAAAATGTTGATTAATTGTGGGATTGGACAAATTTCTTGCTGTTTTGCCACGTGGGCTTTGGGAATTTTGCTGAAATAATACTATGTTGAGATGGGTTTTGGTCTAATTTGTATATTAATTAATTAGGTCTTCATGATTGATGATCAGAGGTTGTTCTTGAGAACAAGAATTACTAGGGTTTAGATGTGTCAACAAATTGTTTTGATTTCTGTATATAATATATATATAAATAAAAAATATTGATTATTTCGAATATATCTGGTTAAAGATTTAATGGCGGAGAGCTGGGATGGAAGTAGTAGTAACAATGACTCAGCTTCTCAATCCGAAGAGAGCCACCATTTCGAAAGGCTCCGTATCGAGCCAATCTACGATTCCTTCCTATGCCCGTTATCCAAACAAGTGATGCATGATCCTGTTACTTTAGAAAACGGGCAAACGTTCGAGCGAGCAGCCATCGAGAAATGGCTCAACGAGTGCAGAGAAGCCGGAAAAAGACCGACTTGCCCCCTCACACTTCGAGAGTTACGAAGCACGGAACTGAACCCTAGCATCGCCCTGCGCCACACCATCGAAGAGTGGAACGCGAGAAACGAAGCGGCGAAGCTCGACATGGCTCGGAGATGCCTGTCGTTGAACATACCGGAAAACGATATTCTTCAGGCACTGAAATTCGTGCAGCACCTCTGCCTCAACAATCCCGTTAACAAGCAAGTGATTCGTAATGCCGATTTGATACCGATGATTGTTGATGTGTTGAAGAGCAGTAGCCGTAGGGTTAGGTGCACTTCTCTCGAAACCCTTCGGATTGTGGTCGAGGAAGATTCCGATAATAAGGTTTGTCCAAATTATTTTTTTTTTTTTTTTTGATTTTCATTGTCGATAGTTTGAGATTGAGTTGTGTTAGTATTCGTGCAGGAAATAATGGCTGAAGGGGTGACTGTGAGAACGATAGTAAAATTCTTGTCACACGAGCAGTCGAAAGAGAGAGAAGAAGCTGTTTCGTTGCTTTACGAGCTTTCTAAATCCGAAAGGCTGTGTGAAAAGATTGGTTCGGTTAACGGGGCGATTCTCATTTTAGTGGGAATGGCTAGCAGCAACTCGGAGAATCTTATTACAGTCGAAAAGGCCGATAAAACCCTCGATAATCTTGCACAGTGTGAGAACAACGTAAGACAAATGGCTGAAAGTGGAAGGTTGCAGCCTCTTCTCACACTTCTTCTAGAAGGTTCAATACATTGTCCATATTATATGTCGCTTTACATATTATCTGTCACTTTAGAATTCCAATTATGCATTAAATGCACTTATTCACATTTTACCCTTATCTCTCTGATCACATCACTAAATGGTAAAGGTTATTTTAGTCTTTTTTTTCACGTGTGTTTCCTAAAATTTAACCATATTGAACAATTTCGAGATTCTAACAATTTTTTATTTTTTTTGCAGGATCTCAAGAAACTAAATTATCGATGGCAACATACCTCGGCGAACTCGTCCTAAACAACGATGCAAGAGTCTACGTGGCAAGAACAGTCGGTTTCTCACTCGTAAACCTCATGAAGCACAACAACATGCAGTCGAGAGAGGCCGCTCTCAAAGCACTAAACCAAATTTCATCGTACGAAGAAAGTGCCAAAATCTTGATCGAGGCCGGAATTCTCCCCCCGCTAGTCAAAGACCTCTTCACCGTCGGATCGAATCAACTCCCCATGCGCCTCAAAGAAGTCTCCGCCACCATCCTCGCCAACGTAGTCAACTCCGGCCACGATTTCGACTCCATTCCGGTGGGGCCCGGTCGGCAAACCCTAGCCTCGGAGGAAACAATCCACAACCTCCTCCACCTCATCAGCAACACCGGCCCCACAATCGAGTGCAAGCTTATCCAAATCCTCGTCGGGCTGACCAATCCTCCGGCGACATCTGTCTCGAGCGTCGTGTACGCTATCAAAAGCTCCGGTGCCACCAACAGTTTGGTTCAGTTCATCGAGGCGCCCCAGAGAGATTTATGCGTGGCTTCTTTGAAGCTACTTCAGAATCTGTCACCTCACATGGGCAATGAGCTTGCCAGCTCACTGCGGGGCCCGTCTGGCCAGCTCAGCAGCTTAATCGCATTGGTGTCGGAAAGCGCTGTAATAACAGAGGAGCAGGCGGCAGCTGTTTGTCTGCTAGCCGACCTCCCCGAACAAGACAAGGGTTTGACAAGACAGATGCTGAACGAAGGGGCGTTTCAGTCATTTATCTCGAGAATCGTTAGTATACGGCAAGGCGAAACGAGAGGGAACCGTTTTATGACACCCTATCTAGAAGGGCTCGTTAAGGTTCTTTCAAGAATCACTTTTGCCTTGTCTGAACAGTCCGCTTTTCAAGTTTGCCGTGAGAATAACTTAGCTTCGCTGTTTATCGAACTTCTTCAAACCAACGGACTGGATAACGTACAGATGGCATCCGCCACAGCTCTAGAGAACCTGTCACAAGAAACAAAAAATTTAACAAAATTACCAGAATACCCTCCACCTCGTTTTTGTGCCTCGATATTCCCCTGCTTGAGCAAGCCAGCTGTCATAACGGGATTGTGCCGCGTGCATCGAGGGGCTTGTTCCTTGAAGGAAACATTTTGTCTGCTGGAAGGGCAGGCGGTGGATAAACTGGTGGCACTTTTGGACCACAAAAACGAGAAGGTGGTGGAGGCTTCGCTGGCGGCATTGGCCACTTTGTTGGATGACGGTGTTGTAATAGAAGAGGGTGTGCAGGTACTTATAGATGCTGAGGCAGTGAAACCGATACTCGATGTTTTGCTCGAGAAACGAACGGAGAATCTTACAAGAAGGGCTGTTTGGACAGTTGAGAGATTGTTGAGGAGTGAGGAGATTGCTTACGTTGTTGCGGATGATCCTAATGTAAGTACAGCGTTGGTTGATTCTTTCCAGCATGGCGATTATCGAACGAAGCAGATTGCCGAGCGTGCGTTGATGCATGTTGATAAGATTCCCAACTTTTCGAGTATCTTTTCAAACACGACATAATCTTTTTTTTTTCTTTCTTAAATTGATTTTTTTATACTAGTCTGTTTCTGTGTTTATTCCCTCCTCTATCTGGTTTTGTTTACTGTAATTTTTGTAATGAAATGTAAAAAAGAAAGTATTTTGTCTGGTTTGTATTATGTGAGCTTTTACAATTTTTCTCCATTTTCTTGAAGTTATTACAAGTTAATTTTGTGCATCACTTTGTCAAGTACTGGTTCCTATGTTGTTTTGTCAAGTATTTTCTTGAAGTTATTGTTTGCAGAAGAATGTATGAAAAATAAAAATAAAAATAAATAAAAAAGAATTCAATAAAGACACCATGAATTGCATCATAATTCATTACAAGAAAAATCAAACAGCAAATACCTACAAACGAACAACAGCCATCGATTTCGTGACGCACGAAGAAGCATCCAAATCGTGCGCAACCCTATTCCTCGAAATATGACTCCACCCATTCCCATTCCCAACACCGCAAGTATCAAACAACGTCACGAAATCCAAAACCTGTCCGAAAATCTTAAACATTTCAACCCCGAAAACAAACTCTCCATCACAAACAAACGCAGCATTCCAATCCATCGGTGCGTCCGGGTGCACTGAAACTTCCCTCCACGCAAAGCACGCAAGATCCATCTCCCAAAGCTTCCTCACCGCTTTATTCCTCCTCCCGATCTCACCATCTCCTTCACACCAAGAAACAGAGAGCATAAAAATTCGATCTTTACACGTGATCACCTTCGGATAGTACTCATGCACGCGTGGCGGTATAGGGCCTGTTTGGATTCTCACCCAATAACCCTTTTCGATGTCGTATCCAGCTAGCTTATCGGTTTCCGAATAAACGTAGAAACTCCCATGACAAACAGCCCCCGAACATGCCACACCGAAATCGAGAGGCAGCCTCTGTATTTCGGACCATTTATTCGAAACGGGGTCGTAAATTTCGCCCGAATCTAGTGGCTCATCCCACGCCCCAAGTCCTCCGACTGCAATCATTACAAACATTCGATTATCTTTACTCGAAGAGCTTCCATTTTTTTGCCTTACGAGCTTTATGGGCTTGACGTTTTCTTCAAGAGAGTGCCTGGACTGTCTTCTAACCGAAAGCCTGTGTGGATCTTCGTAAACATCGGATACACCGCCTGTTCTTGGTCGGTAAAAATGTCTTTCCGATCGGTTTTGTTGGTTTCTGGATAGTGACAAACAATCTTGATTGACTTCTGAAGTACCCAAAACGGGCGATGACCTGGCGTACTTCATGGAAGCGGATTTACGCCACGACTTGGTCATGGGACTAAAGACCAAAACGCCCTTGTGCGTCTTGAACGAGCTCCGATCGACTCGTCCGAAGTTCGTCAAGCTAGAACAGCCACCGACAACGTATACATCTTCCTTAATGCTTGCAACGGAAAACAGAAACCTCCCTTTAATTATGGGAGAATCTATTTTGTGCCATCGGTTTAGTGACACATCCAGTGCGTGTATCTCTCCCGAACAAAACCCGTCTTTTACGAAACCAAAGAGAAACAGCCACGAGGTTTGGAACAAACCCTCTCTCCTAATCTGCATAAAACGAGGCGTGGTAGTCATGTTTCTCCACTTCTTGCATACGAGACGAGCGTTCATTAGACTTGCCATTGGGAGCCTAACCAAACACATTTCAAGAATATCGTCCGGAAGAATTACGTTCATGCCATTGCTTTGCGGTTGAACCGGGATATGCGTTAGGAACTTTCTGTTGTTCCTTCGAAAGAATTTCTCCCTCATACCGTGAGAGAAGCAGTTCATAGTTGCATCATCTTTTCCGCACATTGTAGTATTATAACTTTTTCCATCTTCGCTTGCACTCGATCTTCTTCTAATGTTCGGATCTCCCAACTCTTCGCACATGTCGGCACCCACTTTGCAGCCTCCGCCTCTGCCGTAAAGTGTAAGGCACCTCAAAGAAACGCCAGTCGTTTCATCCTCTTTAGAACCTTCTTCGTTTTTATGATTCTTTCTTTTCAATTTTTGGCTCATGCTTCTTACAAGACGCTTCGAAACGCTCAGTTCTTCTCCTGGTAATCTCTGAGAGGCCATTCTCGTGTCCTATTTTTCTACAACATGTTCCACATGAGCCAAATTGGCAATCCGGGTAATGCCAAATTGGATGTTTTTACATTCACCTACACGACTATGTTGAAGTGAGCTTAGGCCACTTTCATAATATCGACGGTAACAGACACAATTGATAGATCAAAGACTCT